AATAATTATGAAGATCCACTACACACCTTTTATAACTGAACCTCCATTCTTCAGATTTCATACCCAGCTCAAGCCCCACTTACCGCCATTCTTCTGTTCTCAAAGTTTCTTCATTTTTATTGGGACACCCCCCAACCCCTGTAAAAACAGGCAGAAAGAAAAATCAATCTAGCTCTAAAAGCATAAAAAGCAACCCTTCTTTTTCCTTTCAAGTCCAACTAGTCAAAGTTTTCTCAGGAGGAGAAGTATAAGCATAGTGTGGGAGGTTTCATGTTACCTTCCACACTATGTCCCTCCCAAGTGGGCACCCTTTTCTAAATTACACAGACACCACTAGGGCCAGTGGAAGCCCTGGAAAACAGTTGATGGTGGTGACACTCGTCCCATCACCACCACCCACTCAGGAAATAGCAAATAAATAGGTGGAGACTTCCAAAATCCGGACTTCTGACTCAACTCGAGTTGTTTTTCTACATTACTCCTTTGCCTTTGTATGTTTTCAAATGAAGGATGCCTATGAAACTACTTTGTGGGGAACAAAAATGCTACCTAAAGGTCAGCTGCTATGTAAATGTTCCATTACTAACCAAGTAACCCTCTTAGTTCATGTATGACTCAAAAGGATGTTGTCATTGCAAAATAAGGTGCAAGCCTGTGAGACTAGAGCCTCCGTGGTTATGCTAATGAAGGGGGTGTGTCAGCAAGGCTCTATTCTAGTAAGAGGCTAGAATGACACAGGACAGTTGGTCTGGGTGTGAAGAGCCTGCTGTTACCAACAAGGTATCATGTGGCAGGAGTAACTTTTCTCTCGGGCAGCGGACACAGATCTTGTTCTAGCACTTGTCAATTCGTGTTTTCTCAGCAGAGAAAAAGATACCGCAAAACAGAGAATACTCATTCTGCTTTCCAAAAAAACTCTTTACAGTGTACCAGATTAAACCCACTTCATAAGTTTAATTAAAACCTTACTTTAATTAAACCCACAAAGTTCATTTACACATGTTTAAAATTGTGCCTCCAAAGCCAGACCCAAGGGGTGTTTTGTAGTTTGCAGTTATGCTGGACCTGGGAGTATTTGATTGGTGGAAGAATTCTTCCTCCATAGAGGTCTTAACTTAAAAATTGATGAGACACACTGAGTCCTGCACTATCCAATACAGTAGCCACTAGCTACGTGTGGTTATAGAGCACTTGAAATGGGGTTTGTACAAATTGAGATATGGATGCTATGAATGTAAAATACATGATATACAAAGATTTAGTACACCTCCAAAAGTAGACTTATTGAGTGTCCCAAAAAATGTATACACACACTGAATAATTATAAAGCCAGTGTTTATTAAAATACATTTCATTTTCAAAATTGAGCTATCAGCTGTTACAGTATGTATACATTTTTGGGGGGACAGCCTGTATATCTCATTAAAAATGTTTATGTTGGTT